TGCACACATTTTTTTTCTTGGAGAGCTTTTTCTCCATTCTAATGGGGAGATAGCATGTATAGAAGCAGAAAGAAAGTAAATGCAAGATGGTTTGAGAGGGAAAGTATTGGCAGTGAGAGGATTAGGAAAGACTTGAAGTAGAAGGTGATGCATCTTGAAGAAAAAGAGGGATTCTTTTAGGAAGACATAAGGAGGACGTGCTTTCCAAACTCAGGGTAGGGTAGGGGGAAGGGGAGAAGGGTATGGAGAGGGTAACCAATATAAAGGCACAGGACAGAGAATGGAGTACCATGTGTAAATGACCGTGAGAAAGCCAGTTTGACTGGATCACGAAGTATAAGNTGTGCTTTCCAAACTCAGGGTAGGGTAGGGGGAAGGGGAGAAGGGTATGGAGAGGGCCAATATAAAGGCACAGGACAGAGGATGGAGTACCATGTGTAAATGACCGTGAGAAAGCCAGTTTGACTGGATCACGAAGTATAAGAGGGGATTAATGTTCATTGTGGCCAGAAAGTTTAGTTGGGACTAGGTAGTGAAAGGCTTTACAAGCTAAATATATTATATTAATCAATTATAAAATTATATTTTATCCTGAAAGTATTAACAGTGAAATAAAGGAACCAAATAATTATATCCAAGTAATGATTTATTTGGCAATACAGAAAAACAAATTGGGACCAAGGCTCTCAGTAGCCAAGGAATCAGAAGCTTGGTCTCACAGTTAATGTACAATTTGGAAGGAGTGAAAAATGGGAAATATGGGATTATAGGAATTGAAACATCTGGTTCCTCATTGGGTGAGGGACGGGGGACCAGGAGACACTAAGGTGAGAGGGAGAGGAATATTCTTGTGACATTCTTTAAGTCAAGTGACAGTGGGAAGGGGGAGTACTCTTGTGAAACTTCCTAAATCAGGTGACTTACATGGAGTTAAAACTTAACTTCACAAAATGGTGGATGAAAGCAAAATGGAGTTACTAATGCTAATTTTTTTTTAATGTAGCAGAAGCAATAGAGAACCACTGGAGTTCATAGAATAGGGGAGTGCTGTGGTCAGAACTGCACTTGAGGAAAATCATTTTGACAGCAATGTGTAGGATTAGGAGGAAATTTCAAGTAGGGAGACCAATTAGGAAGCTGCAGACATAGATAATCCTTAGATATAACAATTCCTAATAGAAAGACTAGCAATACACACACACACACACACACACACACACACA